TATATATATTTATAATTATGACTTTTATTCTTTTTTATTTTTTTTTTACACAACTGTGGAACAAAAAAGAACTCTCATTTACATCTTAAGCAGCCTTCCAGTCTCTACGACTTACCATTTGGGGATTGCTTTGGACAAACAAGGCATGCAGCAGCTAGAACCTGTGGGTGATTGCTTTACCAAACCAGGCCTGTCTAACTATTCCGACCCATCTACTCCACCCAAGCAGTACAAGGAGTGTCAAAAACATCCACAGCTTGAATTAAAGTATTCTCCTGTCATATCTCCGGTTGTCTCACAAAGGTCATCCAACTTAATTATGTTTCTACTGGCAATAAGTACTGTCAGAAAAAGGCATAAAAGCTGTCACTGCGCGGTACCTTTTCAAAAGTTACCCATTATTACCTTAATTACCTTTAAAGGGTGCATATTACTACCTTTAAGTTAGTACCTAACTTAGTACCTAAATTGTATTAGTATATTTTGAGAAGTTACTGTGACAGCTTTTGTACCATTTTTTTCTGAGTGTAAGAAACAGAAGATGCCAATAGTACATGAAAAGTGCTTTCAGCATGTGCTTCCCTGTTTGAACCACTTTTCTGTAAGCTTTCAAAAACTGTAGTCCATAGAATTCTAATTCACTTTCACTTAATTTGAATTTTTGAAATCTGAAAATTTAAGCTACTATAACTAATGGAGCAAAGACAAATGGCTGAATGAATGTGGTCACAGTGACTTTAAAGCATTAGAGGATTAATTTTTTTTCAGTAGGATCCAGTTAAGTGCTCTCAGATGAGATGAGTTTTCATCTCTCTCTTGAATGTTGTCTCAGGGATTCCGCATACCAGATGGGGTTGGGAAGATCATTCCACCAGCAAGGAACAGTGAACAAAAATGTTCTGGAAAGTGATATTGTGTCTCTCACTTACCCACTTCAGGTATCTGGAGGGGATGTATAGTCTTGTAAAAAGGGTGTAGAGCCTGTGGCTGTTCTGTGTGCAATCTACATCACCTAAAATTATGATTTTTGACCAGTGTTGCCTCAGGTCTTGAGCTTTCTAACTAAAATAACAACATAATCTATTGAATTGCTATTCAGTTTATTGTACTGAAATCTTATATAAGTTTTAGTGACCAAAAATGTAATGTTTATCATATATATATATATATATATATATATATAAAAGAAATATTTAGTTTGACCTCCTGAGGTTAAGCACTTCCTTTCACTAACCATTTGTTGACAATTTGGCTTTCAGGCCTTAGGTTGTACCCTATTGGTGTAGTAGTCATTTTTATTTGAATGTATATAAAACTGTTGGTCTGTAATACATTGTTTGTGTTATTAGTCTAACTTCATGTGCAGAAAATAGGCAATATTTACTTGATTTACTTGATCTACGCTGTTTCTTTAGCTTATTAGTCTACTAGTGCTGAATGTGAGCAAATATTCACAAAGAATGAACAATGTCGTGATATTCTCTTTCCTCAGAGCAAAGTGTTGAGAACTTTTGGTAAATTCTCAGTCCTGGACACTTATCCGGGGTATCGGGTAGTCATTCAAACTTCCTTCTCCGCCTTCTTCTGCTTCACTTTCCTGGGACGTGTGCGTGTGTGCGGTGAAAGTGAGCGGTCTGCCCCTCTCATTCACTCTGAACTCATCACAGTCCACGCACACAGCGACACTGACACTCTCAAAGCCTGTCTGCTCTTTACCGTTCCTGCTTCTCTTTCAGCGGGAAAGAGGACAATCATCCGTTTTACTTTCCGCGGGCATGCATCAGCACGGTGGCGGGCACCGGGAGGGCTGTTGGAGTCGCGCGTGGATAAATGTTTGCAGATGCACTTTATATTTATTTCTACTATTAAGCCTGGAGCGGAGCACCGTGCACTCAGGTAGGAAACATTTGCGCTTCATTATCACTTTTTTCGTTATGCCTTTTAATGACTGCTTTAATGTTGTCATGATTATAGACGTGTTGTGTGATTTAAAGATAATAGGCTACTAATAATGTGAGGCTTGGTTTTATTTGGGGTGCTGCTGTTGTGTTGGCTCCGGCTGCACTGATGTGAAGGAATGCCATGAAAGTCCAAACTCTGAGTGGAACCAGATGTGAGAAGAGGAAGAGAGACCGGGGGAGGGGAGTGCGAGCGCTGGTGCTGGGGCTATTGATTAATTAAAGTGGCTCGGATCATTTGAATCGATTCACTAAAAATTCACTTTAGATTCTGCAGGTTATGTAGGTACGCCAGTAGGTGGCGACATGCGAATGTCCTTTTGTTGTGGATGTTTATGAGTCATTGAATCGTTTACTTGAATGATTCGTTATAAACAGGTTGTTAAAAAGACGAAACTCTGTCAAAATTGGTGTTTAAACACAAGAATATGCACAATTGACAAAAAAGCAAAGACTTAGGCTATATGAAAAAATTTCCATCATTTTGTCAGCAGTCAGCTGCATACTTTCTTTCAGTGTTCGGACTATACCGTGGACTTTGGGGGAGCCCACATGTTTTTTTTTTTTATGGGGGGTGGGGGGTCGTGCGCTTGCGCGTGGGCTTACAATGACTTACAAATATACATAACAGCTAGTGTATGCACTACTTGCTTTATGCAAGCACTATATAGGATAAATCATGATACAGGATTTACCCTGTTATACTTTATCGACACGAATTGATAGGTGAAGCAACAAACAGCCACCCACAAATAGTCCATAAACAAAGCATCAGGCTGTCTTTGAGTTCACATGAACAACGGTTAACGTAAAGTTACTCGTCGTCAGGCTACAGAAGAATACCATAATTCCTCCGTTCAATTAGGCATAAGACATCGAGAGTCACGCAGACCTATAACACCCCAGCCACAACACATAATTGCGAATAACATGCCTTACCTTAACACAGAATCGACCACAGAGTCCAATGTTTATATTTTTTCTACGAATCTTTGTTAACATGTACTAAACATGAGTGGAATTTGCACCGCAGCACACCTTGATGCTCGTGACAAGAATTGCATGTATAGTTATCTCTATTGAGGTGCATTAGGTTTAAATCACCGTCATGCATGAATGAATGATATTTTTGCAATTTTACACATAATAATCCACAATGATCACATTACACAAAACTGAAATTGCACGTCAAAATAACACCTTGTCATAATAATCCACGATGATCACATTACACAAAACTGAAATTGCATGTCAAAATAACACATTGTCAATATTTTTTGAGACCCCCCAAAATTTCACAAATCACGTTTTCAGGGGAGCCCATGTCTTATTAACTAGCTCCCCCGTAGTTCGCACCCTGCTTTCTTTTATATCAAACTAGTAGGCCTACACTCTGTTCATTCCTTGGTTCATTTTCTTCACAAATAAGTGTCTTGCTATCCCAATTGCTGCTTCTCCTTCATTGAGTACAGTAAGTCCAACAAATGATATGCTTATTTATAGTTCGCACTCTTTAATGATATTTGCTCGTACTGTATTCAATCGCTGAAGGCAGAAAAGGACTCGCTTCAAAATGGAGATCCTGCGAACTAGTCAGTGTATGAAAGTAAGGAGACTGATTTGTTCATTTAAAAGATTCATTCGGAAAACTTGTCCACAGACGCGGTACCATCAGCACAGCTTTTATGTTTTATATCTTAACTTTAGTGGGCGAGGGGACATTTTTCGTTATTAAGGGACAGTCGTTATGCTTGTTTGCAGAAGCATGTTCTTGGTTTCACACTGCTCTGCTAACCTGTGTTCTCGAGTGCTTGATTCTCACCCCGTAAGCAGATGTGCTCTAAATATATCCAGTTACACAATAACGAGCCGCAGCTGAGGGCTGTCTACGTCTCGGTGGTCTTATTTTTTAGTGCTTCTCTCAACTTCACAGTCCAGCAGAGACAGGATAGGTTTTTGCACCTCTGTGTCAGATAGTCACCTTATTAAAAAGAAAGTGTAGAAGAACAGAGCTGTAGGCCTAGTTGAACAAGCTAAAAACACGTCACCAAAGACCCGACAGCGCAAAATGCTGTAGTTGCTGACCGATGGGTTTCAGATGTGGAATATGAATCAGTGATTTTTAGCATGAGAAGATGCAAGTTTTTTTCTCTCTCTGCCCTAAAGTGGTTTTGTTGGCCAGTGTCACCTACACAACAGCTTAATCTATTGAATTGTTAATAATTAAATAGTTTTAATGACTAAAAGATTGATATTTTCATAATCGAAATGTTGTATTTTTATATAATATTTAATGCAATGCTCAATTTGGAATCTGGTTACCCAGTCTGCAATGATCTTTTTTCTATAAATTTTGGCATTTAAAACGTTTTAATTGCCATGCACATTTTGGTAACATAGAAATGAAATAAAATTACAATCAAGCACGACTTTATACTGACCATTCAATGCTTCAGATGTATTTGTTTCTGATAGCAGCTGTAACTTATATCTTTTTATATATACATGCTTTTTGGGTCATTGACACTTGTTTTAATATTTGGAATGTATTGTTGTAATAGCATTATTTTTTGCATCGTTTTAGCTTTGTCTCTAGCTCTTTTTTTTATGGATGATGCTTTTTTAAATTTAGTGTATCATAAACACACCAGTACAGTAAAAAAAACTGGTAGCAGACCCTTATATTAGATCTGTTTCTATCTCAGTTGGGGTTGGTTCTTAGGTCACAACTCTGGCTAGGTTAAGGGCTCAGTAACGGGAGCTGAGAAACAAATACCAGCCAGAATTTCCTGTGTGTTGGTCAATCTCTCTGTTTACAGAATAAAAGGATCATCTACACAAAACCCTGACCTCTCTCTACATGCTTCCTTTTGCTCCCTCACTCCTTTTTTTCCTCCGTCTCCCAGCTGGCTTGTTACCCTTCTCCCCCTAACTCCATCTCTCTCACTCTCTCTCTCTCCCTCTCATATCCCTTACTCATTACCCTCCTCCAAAAAAGGGAAGGGAGAAACAAAAATACATCTGTCGTAATAATAAACGTTTAGCTTTGGTAGCTTAGAATGAGAGTTCAGGAAAACCACATACCACCACATGACTAAGCTCACACACCCTTTCATGGAGTTGAGCCCACCCCCTCCCCCCCACCGAGCGCCTGTTTCTTCTGCCTTTTCCATTTTCTGGTATCCTTTGTATTCTTCATGGGGATTTACACCCCAAATTCCAAAGCTTTCGACTAGTTTCTAATACGTTGGCAATAGTAGATTTGAAAAACGTACAGAGGTACACTCTTACAAATAAGAGTTCCAAAAGAGGTTTTTTGCAGTGATCCCAGAAGAACCATCAGAATAACTTTTTTTTGTACTTTGTGTGAAGAATCTAAAGAACTTTTTTTTCTTCCACCTAAAGAACCTTTTTGTGCAATGCAGAGGTTCTATTGATGTTGAAGGTTCTTCATGGAACCATAGATGTCTAATAAAGGACCTTTGTTTTTTAAAGTTTTAAATCACTGTTTTATCAAAATAACTTTTGTCTGTAAAATGGACAAACTGACTGATAAGTTAACCATGTCTGTCACGAAGTCACTGGCCACGCCAGATCCTGCAGCTCCACCCACTCGTTCACAATCCCCAGAATTCTGATTCACCGCACCTGCCTGCACTCATAAAGTCACCCTTCAAAACCAATCAAAGAGCACTCTGCCATTGTCTGGTCTTGTTGTTGTCTGTACGCAACTTACCTGGCTACCTACCTGCTCTACTTATCTGCTTCGATCTGCCATCCGTCAGTCTTTATCTTCCTGCTGTGCCTTCTCCGCTGTGAACTCACATCACCTTGCAAATACTCACCAGTTTGTCAGCTAAGTCTGCATTGCTCATCTGTTTGACACATTTCTACTCACCTTGTCAATAAATACCTTATATGTGGAAGTTTCCATGTTGTCTCCTTCTGTTTTGTTAACAGAAGACCAGAACACGCCATGCAATGACAAACTGAACCTCAATCGAATCCAAACCCGGATCCATTTGCAGAACTTGTTGAAACCAACTGTCAGTCAATATTATCTCTCACCTTTCCTTCACTAGCTGCCTCTGCCAGTCCCATGGCCCGTCATGCAGGGGGTTTCTGCTTCAGTATTCACTATTCTTTGAAATCCAGCCCCAATTGTTTGCTAATAACCGGTTCAAGATCGCCTACATCATCTCACTCCTGTTGGGACGAGCCCTTCAATGGGTGAGAGCAATATGGAATGCCAACAGCCCAGTAACTAACACTATCACGGCATTTATTACCCAATTCAAGGAGGTCTTTGGACAAACAGCGACCACGTTATCAGTGCACGACCAACTCTTCTGGCTTCGCCCAGGCAGTTCTTCTGTGAGTGAATACACGCTCCAATTTCGCACCATCTGTGTTTATACTATGGTGCAAGAGGTCATCTGTTATCATCTCGTCCAGTCCATCCACCAAGCCCATCCACATCACCAGCAGCTTCCAGCTTCTTCTTCGTCAGTAAAAGAAAATGGAGGCTTGTGGCCCTGCATTGATTACCATGTGTTGAACTCTCAGACCATCAAATACCACTTCCTCTGGTCCCTGCCGCCCTTGAGCAGCTGCGTGGTGCCCGCATCTTCTCCAAGCTGGACCTGCGTAGTGCGTGTAACCTCATTCAGATCTATGAATGGAAGACTGCCTTTATCACGCCAGCCACTATGAATACCAGGTGATGCCGTATGTCCTTTCCAACTAACCCTCCGTGTTCCAGAGAATCATGAATGGTGTTCCTCCATCACTTCGTGATCATGTACATAGATGATATCCACATCTACTCTTGGAACCTGCCCAAACATCGCCACCACTTGAAACCTGTCCTCCAAGGACTGAGGAAACACTGAGTTCCACTGAGACAAGATCCAGTTCTTCGGGTATGTCATTGACCAT